CCCCCACCCCACCCCCACCATCCCACCTCCCCACCTTCCCACCTCCCAGGCCAGCAGCCCTGGAATCTACCAGAAGGAGTCAATGCATCAATGCATGCACACTCTGGGCCATTCCACAGGGTTTGGCGTGGAATGCTGGATCCTTCACCCCGAGGCCTAGTGATTCTCACCTAGTCATGTCCAAACTAAGAAGGAAACAAACAGAGCCACACCCTTAACCTGCAATGATGGTGGCACACAAGAAAACCACAGGAAACACTGTCAGCGAAGACCCTGTCTCCTACTGGGTCACCAAACCAGAGCACTCCATTTTCAGAAGTCACAACAGCAAACAGCTGGCTCCCAAAATAATAAAATAAAATAGTAAAATAAAAACTGAATTATGTACCCTCAAATAACCCAACATGAGCTAGGAGGAAGTGATGAGGGCATATCAGCAGAGCGCTTGCTATTTTGTCTGTGGAGTATTTTTAGTACTTAATTGATATTGGCAGCGTCACCAGGAGACCAGCAAAGATAAGATTTTATACTTCTCATTTAATCGTGGAATGAGTGTGGGGACTGTAGCCAGATGAACTGATTTCTACCAGTTTTTCACTGAGTCAGCTCTGACCCAGAATTAGAAATGAAGTCAGCCTGCCCCAGGTCCCTTCTTTATCTAGGTCACTAGAGCAAGCTGGTTCCCAGCAGCAAATTCAACAATTCCCCAGCAGGGTATCAGCCCCTGGTATGGGCCATCTCACGGGGAGAGCTCGAAGCCCATGCTGAACCGATTGGTCACACGTCACTAGTGACCCCTCACACTACTCCTGGGAACAGAAGAGAGAAATCTGAATTCCCAGACCTGTCTTTACCACAAGGACACATTCTTTCCCAAATGTCACCAGAGTGCTTGAGCAACCGCATCCCCCAAGAGTTTTAAGTGAAGTAAGAAGGAAATGACTCTTGCTAGTCCACATTTTTTAACGTTCCTAATCTTTTTTCCAGAAAAAAAACTCCACATGAATAATTATCTACTACCTAGTGCTCTCCCAAGGTTATCATGAGAACAGGGCAGAGTAAATGCACGGGACAGCTTCTCAAGTGGGCTTCCACTGAGTTGGCACACAGCATGAGCTGCATAGGAACAAATGGCTCCAATCTGCTTCCAGAAGGTCCCACTGGGGAAGAAGGAAGAGCAGTGAGCCGGACATGCGGCACGAAGGCCATCGGTGCCAGCAGTGTCCGAGCCAGACTCTGCAGCTGCAAGGGGCAGCACTCCAGCTGTGACCACCCTTAAGCTGCAGCTCGAGGCCAAGTGTGGGGAAGGTAAAAGAGCATCCAGCTCCCACAATGTGCTATAGGCTAGGCCAGAGGACGAGGTGGCCACTCAGTTCACTACAGGCAAAACTGAACACCACAACCATGGCTTATCACTACTATGGTGATCAATACAGACACCAAGGAGCTAAGGGTGTGGCTCAATGATAGAGCACTTGCCTAGCAAGTGGAGCCCTGGGTTCCATCCCCTGAAATGGAGAGTAAAATAATGAAGATCAGAAAAAACAGCAGGTAAAACATTACATAAAAAATTTCAATGTGATTGTGCTTTATGATTCATTCTTGATCAACAATATAAAGAATTGCAGAATTCAAAAAGAATGTATAGGTTACCAGTGCTGGGGTGATAGGTGACCAGGGACTGGAGACACCAGCTACCCTGATCTGATCCAACCATTATGCAATGGCTGCATTGCACAATGCAAGCATCAAATCATCTTACTGTGTCCATCAAGTATATATCAACATCATCATCCTAACCCCCCCAAAGTCATTTTAACTACACAGAAACTTTTAAAAGTCTGTCTTCACTATATCCATACAAAGAAAGTTTATATACCAACAAAGGAAACCATTATGGCTGCGTTCTCAGATGAAATTCAGAACTTGAAGAGGACTAACAAGACACCATTGTATATAAAGATGAAAGAAGGCAGCATGGAGAATCATCGTGGGACTGAAATTAGCCATTCCAAATTAGGCTTGAAATGGAGTTTCACGCATGGAGCAACTTGAAAATGTTTGCTTACCATATTATCTACAGCAAGGACATAAAGAACCCATAAAAATGTGGAAAGAGAGGGTTTCTTTGTAATATCCAATTACTTCTTTACCTCTTACAATGCATGGAAGAGTTTATGATTGAGGAAGCCCAACAGTTCCC